ACTAATTGAACTTTATCTATCCCTTCTGTAAAGGCAGCTCTTTCTAGTGCTATGCACTATTGCCTTGCTAAAGTAATAATCTCTTTATCTATGTTCATTGCTTTTGCTACCATCCTATCGAAGTGATCTGCAAGACCTAGTACTGAAGTACTCTCTTCCTAAATTATTTCTCTTCTATATTCTTTCGTTATCTTCTTAATGAAGTGCTTTGAGCTTTCTGTATTCCACATCTTTATCTTTATTATCTATTTTGTTTTTGTTTTCTTCTTTAACTAACTCTCTATTTTCTATATTGAAGTGACTTCATTTTTTTTTAATAATTCCCTGTATTTTTTCCTGATTACCTGTGAAAATTCTAGTTCTCATCTTGTATACTTCTTTTCTATTAGTTAATTTCATGTCAACTAAAATTTAATTATTGACTAACTAATCAACTAATTTTAATCTCTATTTTTGTTTATAGGGTTCTAGTATTCATGTTAGTGATTTTGTCTGCAAATCTATTAGGCGTCTCAAACTATCAGAATAAGAATATTCTAGAAATAACTTACTTCCTAATTATATGCATCTTAAGTATACCTAAGCATGCATTACTATCTACTTAGGTATAAATTGTAATGAGTAGTGGACAACTGATAATTTAGTTGAACAAGTAGTTGACCATGCTATACTAATATTTAAACGAACACATCCTGATAAGATCACTCTATTCATGTTTGATCATAGCTGCAATCATAGTTTATTTGCTAAAGATATCCTTTTGGTTACACAAATGAGTATGAGAGATAGTACAAAAAAGCCACTTCTTCATAATGGTGTAAAACCTGATAGTACTAAATATATAATGATCTATATAGATAAAAATAGTATAGTAAGGCCTAAGTATTATCTACTTAATACACATTCTTTTTGTAGATCATTTTGACTATTTCTGAAGCTAAAGGAAAAACAGAAATAAGTCAAAATTTAGACTAAGAAACAGTAGTAGAAGGACTAATTAAAAGAAAAAATAACCAGAAACTACACATATTATATTAGAAGAACAAGAAAAAG